TTTGCATAAGATCTGGCATATTAACTGCACACTCATTTGAAGACAAAATATATACTACCACTGAACAAGGGAGGAGACTGATGAGATCAAGGTTGGCCACACACACTATAGGGTGCCCAGCCCGAAGTTTATCAAGATTAGTTCAATCTAGTCTGGCACAGCAGACACAGGGAGGAATACTGAAATGATGGAAGAGGCCTTGGTAAAAGTCAGTCTTTTCTTACAGTATACAACTGGCATGTAAAATCATAGCACATGTTCTTAGGGATCCAATATTTCTGACACGGTCTACAGTCAGATAGCAACACCAGATCTTGGTTCTCAGGTAAACCTGTGCTACCTCAGTATATACCACCATTCCAAGAAATGAATGTGACTCTTTTTCTTGGCCTGTTGACTGAGAGCAAGGCATCACAGAATTCTAGACTAATATAATAAGAGCTGAGGTTTATATACCACATTATGATTTACAAAGTACTTACATCTTTCTTTGTTTTATTTTATTTTATTTTATTTTGGAGGCAACTGGGATTAAGTGATTTGCCCAGGGTCACACACCTAGTAAGTGTCTGAGGCTAAATTTGAACTCAGGTCCTCCTGACCACAGGGCCAGTGTTCTCTCCACCACACCACTTAGCTGCCCCTACATCTCTCATCTGAGCTTCACAACTGCCCTGTGAGATAGGCACCAATGACATGATTATGAGCCAGCACTGTATAATGAAAAAAGTGCTGGATTTAGAGTCAAAAGACCTGGGTTCAGGCCGAGTTCTGTTACTTACTACTTGTTTGACTTTGTGCTTATCACTTAACCTTTCTGCGCTCATTCCCTTACCTGTAAAATGAGCAGTCTGGATTAAATGGCCTCATAGCTCTAAATTTATAATCCTAGATCCTGATTCTAAAGATGCAGATTGTTCAGTTGTTTTTCAATCACATCCAACTCTTCGTCACACCCTTTGGGGTCTTCTTGGCAAAGATACTGGAGTGGTTTGCCATTTTCTTCTCCAGCCCATTTTACAGATGAGGAAACTGAGGCAAACAGGGTCAAGTGACGTGGCCAGGGTCACCCAGATAGTAAATGCCTGAGACAAGATTTGAACCCAGGAAGATGAATCTTCCTGATTCCAGGTCCGGTACTCTATCCACTGTGCCAGAGCTGCTCAAAGACGTAGATTCGAAGTTTCAGAGAAGTTAAATGACTTCCCCATTGTCACATGGATAGTAAATGTTAGCAAAATTAGAACTGAGGTTTTTAGGGAATTGGAGCCAAGCACTCTTTGCATCTTGCTGTGGAAAGGAGCCCTGGACTGGGAATCAGGAGATCTGGATTCTAGCCCAAGCTCTGTGACTGATTTCATGGTGCAATATCAGGCAAATCACTTCCTCTCTGTGAGCCCTGGTTTCCCTATCTGTAAAACAACCCCCTTTGGATTACATGATGCATAAGTAACTCAGCTCTGATATCAATCAACAAGCATCTATTCAAATGCCTACTATGGGCCCAGCATGGTGGGGAAACAAATACAAAGAGTAAAATAATACCTGCCCTCAAGATGCTTGACTTCTAGCTTCCTATCCTGGCATTCAATACCATTTAAGTAAAAAAAACCCTGGTACCTCACCCCGTTACACTCAGGGTTAAATTCCTCTGCCTGCTGCTTGGGGTCACAATTTAGTCCCCCCATTCACAAAAGCTAGCGTCAGCACTGAGCACTGGGTACCTAGTGGCACTCAATGAGATGTACTGAATGAGTGAAAGAATGAATGAATATAGTGGGACATACCGGCAGCTGAAGCAAGATTCCCTTCCCAACCCCCTCCCCTTCTAGGGTGCAGTCATGAAAAAGGAGAGAAAGAAAGCAGAGACTGCTCGGTGGGTGTAAGGCAGCCTGACTGCCCCCAGGGGAAGGGCAGGCTGGAGACAATGGCAGCTTTTTATCGCAGGTGATTTTACATGCAGATGACAAAGAATTAATTAACAGGGAACATTTGGGAGGCCTTATCACTCCCAGACCCCAACACAAAGAAAAGAAAAATGAGAAACTAACAGCGAAGACAGCAACCCTATTAATGTAATGAGCAGGCTGCAGCGTCAGTGTCTTTTGCATCACCAGGAATGGAAACGGCCTAATTGTCTTTCCATGCTTGGGAAGACAGTGGCTGAGGGAGTTCATGGAGAAGCATCCAAACCCCTACAGTGGTGGCAACTGTCTCCTAATTCCTTTCCTTATCTCCATTACCTTCCCTTCCATTTAACCTGGAGTCACACTATGGGTTAGCCCACAACCAGGAAACCTGCTCTCCTCTATAGTGTCCTCAAAAGCAACATCCTGAGGAAGGGCCTACACGTAACTGAGCTCTCCCTCCCACCCACCCCCAAATACTGAAGAACCAATGCTTGCTGGCCATGGTGGGAGAGGGTTCTAGGCTGAGAGGCAGATGGCTCTTCCTAGAGTTACCATTTTACAGAGTACTCCTGAGTGTATCTCTTCACCTTGGATCTCAGTTTCCCCATTTAGATTTCAAAAATCTGCCCTACACGTTACCTTCCTTGATTATCCCTTGCCAGGACAAACCAGAAGTCTAAATGACATTTAAGATCCTTATAGAACAATTTCAATTGTCCTTTTGTCATTATTTATTTAGAAATACATCAGGTTTCCCTATACAATTCTCTGTTTATTTCTAAAAAGTACTTTCATCCTGGTATCTCTGCCTTCCCTAACTTATTACTTGTTGGCTAAAATTTGAAAGTTAGAATGTTCTACCTCCCAAGCCCTCCCGTTTTATAGATGAGGAAAAAGAGGCCAAAATTTCTTATTGGTTTAATCAACATTGCCATTTCATCTTTCTTGGAAATGTAACTAGGATTTCTTTGATGGAGGCCAAGCTTAGGCAGAGACAGGTGCCCCAGCAGAGAGGGGCTCAGTGCTATTAATGCAGCACCTGCTTTCCATAAATAAAGCTGTTCACTGCTATATTTAGACTCTTTGCTCCCAGGAACTCCGGGCAGCCTGCCAGCCTAAAGACATGGTGGAAATAACACCCTGGGCTTGGCTGGGCTGGGCTGGGATGGCCTGACCCAATCTCCCTTCGTCTCCATGAGCCTAAGGCCCCAGAACACATACTGGCTGGTGTCTCTCTGAACTCTCTCTTTTCTGCACAAACCAACAGGCATCAGACACCATAGCTGCTCCTAAGTGGCTAGGTAGGGTACTATTAAATGGGGGGGGGAGTGTCAGGAAGAGATTGATGGGAATGTTGAGAAAACAATAAGGCCATATATTCCATAATGAGAAAAAAGCATCAGGAGAAAATCCTAGAATGCTAGTTAGAAGGGACCTTGGATTTCACTCATTATCTTTTCTCTTTGAAAAAATATTTTTTATTATATGGTATGGCTCTCTCGGAGGAAGATGGATACACAGGGAAATTAAAGTGATGTAAAAACAAAAGATATCAATAAAAATGTATTTTAAAAGTTAAAGAGGAAGAAAATTACTTGTCCAAGGTCACACAATGAATTTGTAAGGGGTGGGAAGGAGAAAGGGGTAGTAGAGATGAAAGGGTTGTTTTGTTAAATTCCTTATACTCTAGAGAAGTACAGAGCACTCCCAATGGAAGTCCAGGCCACCCTTCATATTCACTGATCACCTCTGAGAAATAGTTATCTCCACCATGACTCTTAGGGCTAGGCAGGGTTGGTGAGAATCCAGTCCTCTACTAACCACTTTTCCCTAAGACACCAGCTTCAAGTTAATTAAACCCTTCCACTTAACTTTAAACAACAAAGAGAATAAATGAATTCTAAACCATGAATTCTAAAGCCATCTAACCCTCCCAGCATAGTATTTGTGACATGTACCATAGACTTTAAACTCCTTGAGGGCAGAGAGCACATTTGTATCCTGTTTTGTATCATGACCTGGAGAGTGCTAAATACCATGAGACTTTTTCATGGTGGTGAGGAATTAGGAAGAAAAAGGATTAAAATTTCAAAAGGAAAGTAAAGTTCAAGCTTTTACTTTATATTTATAAAACTTTGGTGGTCTGAAAAGATCATAAAAATCCAATTTGAAATAAATCCAAGGTAAGATACTCTTACCTCCTCAGAGTTAGCCACACTAGTCATGCTCCAAGCATTCCCACCAGTCCACAAAAAGGCCAATAAGGCAAGTTAATACCTAAGCCAATAGGCATATTACCCACTGCTCCTGCAAGAGGTTTAACCATGAAAATTTCTTTACTCTCAAGTCACGGATTCAGGTTCCTGCGGGACCACCTCCATCATTTAGAAGGCAACTGCAGGCCTGAATGAATTAAGAAGTTTTAACCTGTAGAAGAAGAGAAATAGGTAGGACCTGATGGCTGGCAGCAAGTATTTGAAGGACTAGCATATGAAGAAGGAACTCTACTTGTTCTAACCCTGGGGGAAGAATTGGGTAAAATTATGGGGGAGATAGACTTCAGATGGATATAAGGAAAATCTTCCTAAAAACAAAGGCTGTCCAGAAGCAGAACATACAGCCTGAAAATGTAGGACCTGAAAATGTAAAGTTTCTCCTACCCCAGACTGAAAGTCCCTAAGCTGAGGCTGAATGATCACTATTGGGAATGTTGTAGAAGAGATTCTTATTTAGTTAGTCAATAAACATTTACTTAGCACCTATAATGTGCCAGGCACTGTGCTATGCACTGGGAATACAAAGAAAAGCAAAAGACAGTCCTCGCTTTCAGGGAGTTCACAGCCTAACGAGAGAGACAGCAGGAAAACAACCACGTACAAACAAGACATTTAAAGGAAAAACTGGGGATAATCAAAAAGGGAAGGCATTAGCATTAAGGGGATTGGGAAGGGCTTACAGATTAGACAAGGTGACCTCTAAGGATAACTTCATTTGCAAGATTCTACAACTCCATAAAGTTACCCTCAGCAACAGGTATCTGCTTCGTTTCAGAAAACCTGTTTTGGCCTCAAATGTTTCCATTCTACTCACCGCCACTAGGATCTGGAAGGAGCTGTGTATGACTTCGATGTACCGATACTCCAGAGTGCAGCCGATCACAGAGACATAGGACTGGCTGTCCAAGCCTGCAATCCCAGCCGCTGGGGCTTCCCTTCGGACACAGCCTGGCCCATTCTCACTCCACCATGATTGGTGCTGGGAAATATTAAAGGTCAGAAGTTCACTGTCCTAAAAAACAAGGGGGGGTGGGGAGAAGGGAGAGAAAGGAAAAATTGTGATATAAACAGAAGCTAGCTTACTCTTGTCTATTGGGGACCATATAAGTATTAAACACTGACAGTATATTAAGGGCTGCATCAAATACCAAATTGGCTGTTCTCCCCACCCTGTGCATAAGCTTAGACATTCTCAGGGGTTCACTTGGGACCCATTCTACTCACATACTCAGGGTGTAGGTCACACACATTAAAAAACAAGGCCTACTAGCATGTCCTCAACAATTCTCAGATTCAAAGTGTCATAATAAAAAGCAAATCAACACTTAAACTAGTCTTCCCCTTCCAATTCCTCATAATGTTCACAGATAAGGCTTTCTAAAGTATGACTTTGATCACATCTCTCTTCCATCTCTCCTTCCCCTCAAAACTTTCAGTAGTTTCTGTTAACTACCCAGTAAAATCCAAATACTTTAGTCTGGCATTCAAAACTTTCTGTGGGCTTGGCCCCAATCTGTCTATTGTTCTGGCTCACTCTGGTTTTGATGCTTGGAAAATCTTTTTCTCCCTCCTAAGACTTTTCTGCTTATTCAGATTTATTATCTCTCAGCCTCACATTAACTTTGTGACTATTAACCTTTAGAGTCAAATGACTTTGACATACTGACCTCCACAGTAATCAATATCTGCTTAGTGAAGGCTCCATAAGAGATGTAAGCCTTCCTTTGTGACCATTGGAGGCACTTTTCTTCATCATCCTCTTCTCTCAGCTCAACAGTCTCAACCTAGTGGTTTTGTGTGTGTGTGTGTAATATATTAATATATCAATGCATTTATTAATAGCATGGTTATTAGTAAATATAAGACACATATATGTATGTGTGTGTGTGTATACACACATAGGATTAGGAGGATTTTCCTCAGGTAACTAATGGAAATCCTTCTTAGCAGTCTAAGTACATTCCCTTTACTCAGAGAAAAGGATAAAGTGAACTGATAATCTTCCTACTAAACCTGTTCCTTCCCGTAGTTTACTAATTCCTGTTAATAAAATCATCTTTCCAGCTACATGGGCTTAATGACATCTTTGACTCCTCCCCTTCACTAATTCTTGGTGTCCTTTTGTTTCTATTGGGATTGTTGTTGTTCAGTCATGTCTGACTCTTCATGACCCCATTTGGGATTTTCTTGGCAAAGATAGTGGAGTGGTTTGCTATTTCTTTCTCTACCTATTTTACAGATGAGGAAATTAAGGCAAACAGGATTAGGTGACTTGGCCAGGATCATACAGCTAGTAAGTATCTGAGGCCAGATTTGAACTCAAGAAGCTGAGTCTTCCTGACTCCAGGAGCATGCCACCTAGCTAACCCCCCCTTTAACTTTCTTCAGCCCTCCCCCCTTTTGTTTCTGCCATCCCAGTATTTCCTGCATCTAGTCCCTCTTCTCTACTCCCACTCCAGACCTTCCTCTTTCTTGCCTAGAACAGCAGTGCAATAGAAAGACTGGATTTGAAGCAGAGGGTGTAGGTTTGGGTCACTTACTCCCTGCATAACTTTGGACCAGTCACTTCATCTGTAAAGTGAGGGAGGTCAGACTAGATATTTCTAAGGTCCCCTCCAAATCTACTTCTGCAATCCTTCAATTCTTCTAATATTGTTCTTTCTGCTTCCAATCTCTCCTCATCCCATCCATTTTCCACGTCTGCCTGAGTAATCTTCCTGAAACATGAATAACACTCCTAGTCAGAAACTTTCAATGCCTCCCCATTGTGTCACAAATAAAGTATAAACACCTGGTTGTGGCATTCAACATCTTCTGCAAGTTTGCTACTCCTCTTCAAAACCTCCATGTTAAGAGTCCAAATGGAATTTTCTCCTCTTCTCCTTCTCTAGTCTTGTCTTGCTCTTTCTCATCTCCTTGTTTTTTCACATGCTATCACCCGTCCTTGGAATGGACTTACCACATTTTACTAAGGTCCCTACTTCAAGGCCCAACTCAGTTGCTTTTTTTCCATGAATAGGTAACTTCTTCTTGCTTCCATGAAACCTTCTTTGATATTCCCCTCCCCTCCAAAATGATCTATCAAATTTCTCAGAGCATGTTGCCTGGACATCTCCTTTGTAGGAATTTTATTCTTCCTTATGCCCTATTTATTTGTGTTCTTATCTTGGCACCCCTCCTAATCTTAAATAGCTATCAAGGCACCTACACCTTTTTGTCCTCAGTCCTTTGTATCATATCTTATACATAGTAGGTGAGTAATAAAATATTTGCTAAAAATGGAATTAACTCACTGTATGTGCCTTGCCCTGGGGGTGCTTAGAGAGAGGAAAGGTAAGATTGTGTGGCACAGAGGAAAAGACAATGGACTTGAAGTCATCGGGCATGAGTTCAAATCCTATCCCTGACACTTACTAGCTGTGTGATCTTGGTTAAATCACTTAAACTTTTGGAGCTTCAAGTTCCTCATCTGAAGAATAAGGTCTAGACAGCATCTAAGGTCCCTTCAACTCTAAATCTGTGATCCCATAATTGGAGGAACAAAAGGGAGACCGAGATACCTTGACATTCGCTGCTATATGGTTTATTGCCTATCCCAAAGTGAAACTTCAATCTATTGATCTAATCATTCAACAAGTATTTATTTCTTTATTCTAAAGGTAATAACCCTCTACAAAAACATACATTAAAATATACAAATAACAAATAATCAACAGATATTTACTTGCTCTTCCTACCTGACCAGCCCTGTTCAAAGAGCTGTGAGAGGAAAAGAGATACCTAAGAAATAATTTCTGCCCTCAAGGAGGTGACAGTTTTCTGGGACTGTCTTACACAAAGTAACAATACTAGTGATGACACTAGGGAAAATGCAGCCAATGAATGTCATAGAAAACAAGGGCCATAGGACTTCAGAGGAAGAAAGAATGGTCAGAAAAGGCTTTATGGAGGACATAAGACTTTGGTTGGACCTTGAAAGATTATTTTCACCAAATATTTCAAACTTTGAAATGAAAAACTTGAGTTAGTCCTGATGGTTGGAAGAGAGAATTACAGCATAGGGAAGACTTACAGTTAATGCCATGCAATTCGACTCCATTTGACAAGAAGTAGTTAATTACTACTAGGTGCTAGAGTTATGAAGACAAAAAGAAAACAGTTGTTATCTTCAAAAAAGTTATATTTTACTTCAGGGTGGGAAAACAATATATACACAGGTAAGTAAATATAAAACATATAGAGGGTATCATTTCTTTAATTTAATTCTAATGATTTAATTAAATCTAAAATTCAATTCAAATTAATTAATTTAAATATTAACTTAGTATGGGGGCTACTGCAGAGCTACCAAGAAAGGCCTCCTGTAAGAGCTATACTTGGAGTAAGCCTTGAAGGGAACAAGAGATTCCAAAAGGCAAAGATGAAAAGAAAGAACATTCCAGGCAGAGAAGAAAGTTTGCCCAAGTCAGGGTTGGAATATCACATACAAGGAACAGCATATTTGGGGAAGTGAATAGCCCAGTTTGACTGTAATGAAAGTGCTATGTAATCAAGTATGGGAAGATAGGTTGGAATCAGATTGTGATGGTCTTGACATGATAAACAGAGAAGTTTGCATTTTATTCAGGACATAATAAGAGACTACTGAAACCTCTTGAGCAAGAGATAACATGGTCCGACATAATTCAGGAATATAAATTCAGCAGGTATGTGGATTGGAAGAGGGAGGGGCTGAAAGCAAGAAGCCTAGTCAAGGATGCTATCTGCAACAAAACAGAGAGGTGATAAGGATCTAAAACAAGGTGGTGGCTATCTGAAGAGAAGGGGTCAGATGCAAAATATGTTGTCAAGAAAGAATCTACAAGATTTGGTAATTGACAAGGTAGAGCTATGGAGGGGCCATGTGTCATGGACTTGGATAGCTTCAAATACCAGGTCAGGAGAAATAGTTAAGATATTGAGTTCCATAGAAGGGAAGAGCACTTCAACCGTTTCCTCAACCACGGCTAGTGAGGACATAAAGGCTAGATCTTGACCAAAAAGTTGAGGCCAGAGGATGAGGCAGAGTCATACTTGAGATGATTATATCTTTGGGAATGTTAACAGTAACAACAATGATGCCATTTCTGAAGGTCTTTAAAGTCTAGTTCTTTCCAAAATATGTTCATCATGATAGTTTTCTGATCTCAGTAGTTAAAACATCATTATCCTCATTTAACAGGTGAGTTGAGCAAAGTTAATTGACTTACTCACACAACTAATAAGAGGCCAGAGTTAGGATTTAAATGGAAGTGTCTCCTGATTCCAAATCCTTCTAATACAGCTTACTCAACAACTCAATGCTTCTGTAATTAACTTTGTTTTCTCCCCACTTTCTTCTTTAATTCCAAGTAAAGTTTTTGCGCCCATACTATGGCTAAAGATTAAAGCAAAGGAAGAGGTATTTGCTCATACCAATACCAGAAAAGTTTTAGAGGACACTGAGTGCCCACAAGAGCCAAGGGGCACGTAGAGCAAGCAGAAAAGTAAGAAATACTTTGGAAAGAGGTTTGGGCATTGAAATGTTCTTCCAGGGGTATTTCATCAAAGATAGAATCCTAGGTCCTGATATCTCCGCTACGACTGAAAGAAAATCTTTTCTAAATAATTCATCTGATTCAATAAAAGTGTAAGGAAAAAACACTATTCACTGAATCACAGAAACATAGAATTTCAGATTTGGAAGATATCTCAGTGGTCATAGAGTCCAATTCATATCCCAAAAAAAGAATCTCACAAGAACATAGCCAACAGGTGACCATCTTACCTGTGCTTGAAGACTTGTTATGGCTTGAGGGGTGGTGGGAACTCACCACCTCCTGAGGCAGCCAGGTCACAAAATGGGTAAGAACACTTGCACTTGGAGTCAGGAAACTCTGAGTTTAAATCCTGCCTCAGACACTTACTGGCTGTGTGACCTTGACCAAATCACTTAATCTCTCTTTACCTTAATTTCCTCTTCTGTAAAATGTA